ATAAATGTAATGAATTATTATTATTATTATTATGCGCAAAATTAGAATATTACATTTTCGAATAAAGCACTTTCCATCCCATGCTCAAGAGAATAAAATCATCACTTCCAGGGAAACTGGGGGAAAGTATCAATAATAAAAATGAAAGTTGCTGCAACCGGGGAAGCCTGTGGCTCTTTTTTTCTTGCTAAATTACTTCCGCAATAATAAAAGCTGTCTGGTTATTTTAGTTCTGGAATGCTGTTCTGTGAGACAGTTACTGTATAAGAGGTGATTATACCAAATCACTTTGATGACCAACTTTTGCTCAGGCATTTTTTAAAATGATGAAAATAACATTTGAGATTGTGTGCGACGAGATCGATGTGCTGTTTAGTTCAGTTATCTAATCGCATGATCTGCTGAAGCAAAGTCACATGGTTTTTTGATGAGTATCAAGGACTTTATTCAGCAGTTTATGTGCATGTCTTATTGAGATCTAGAGCGTATAAGCTTTTTTTATGAACATTATTTGAATTTATGCACATCTTGGCATTTCCATCCAGTGTTTTATATGCAATAGTCCAAAATTCACACAAAAAATAGGTGGATAAACATATGTATGCTGATGTGAACTCAAACATTATTCATCAAATTCTTCCAAATCCAAATGATCTAATGCTCTCCACATTAATTTTATTGTTCTGTACAAAAATTTAAAAAAAAAATTAAAAAAAGGAACCAAAAAAAATGGGAACATTTAAATTAATATTATTTAACATCACAGAATCAACCTAAATACATTAATTTATACCAACAAAATATATTTTTTTATGGGTTAAAACAGGTAGAATAGCTCTTTAATGTAACAATTGCAGCACTTTTTATGCCACTATTAATGTATCATGTCAGTGTTTGCCTTATTTGTGTGTCTCATGCATTCATTACCTATGTTGGTTGTTTAAATTATCTCATTGCTGTAATAAATGTTTATATATATATATATATATAATATTACTAAATTCACCATTCATTGTTATCAAACACTCTTTTCATAATCTAATAATAATAGGAATTATTATTATTTTAAATCATGATATACTGTACTTCTCCAATAGCCTGTATCAGATCAGATGAGTCTGAAGGAGCCCCGGTGAGTGGCTAATGTTGTGATAATTGCCGAGGCTTTTATCACGGTATACGGTATTATCATGATATTGGGAAAAAAGTTGCAAAAAAAAAAAAGTGTTGTCATATAACAGGTTTAATAACTTTTTTCTTATAACAAAAAGAACTGAACAAAGCAATATTTTTCAAATTTTTATTTTATTTTTTCAATTTTTACCCTTGGTGCTTTAATTAGCATGATGACAGCATTCTTTTGATTTAGGAAAAGTTCTGTCCTCTCAGAGATGTTATGTCTTTAAATTGATTTCTTTTAAAGCAGTACAACTACAGCCATACACATTCAGATGGACATTTTTGGCACCTGCAGTTTTTGAGTTTCCCGCCAGTTTTTAATGTGTCAATTTAGCCATTGTGCAACTTTGAAAAACGTCTATTTATTGAGCTCAGTGGAGGTGTTTTTATTGAACACGTTTCATGTAAACGTCCTCTAAGAACCGCATCTTATTGGGATCAGGTTTATCGTAAACCAGCCTAATTATTAAGTTTCATAAAGACTGATAAAGTCATGTCGGAAAGATCGTATTTACCAGTTAAATGCACATGAACGCCACCAAAAAGTTGTAATGATGAAAATATTGAGACAATATCACACACAATGGCTGCAGCTTCTGTATTTACGGTCAATTTGTTGAAATGTAATGTTTTTTCATTTACAAGTTGCATGTACAAAATACAATTGTACAATCATGCTAGAAATAATGGTTCAGTTCCGAAATTGAGTAAAAACATAAAGCAAAAACACACCTAATGTGCATTTTTTGATCAGTCGTTTTGTAGAAGTAGAGTTAAAAAAGTAGAGTTGTTTTTGTATACTGTAAAAAATGACCATGAATTTAACGGTAAAACACTGTAAAAATGCTACAGTAAAAACCTGTTAAATGGTTAACGGTAAATACCCCTACTATATACGGTGAAAAACTGTGTTGGACATTACATGTATTGGACATAAACTTTACAGTAATATACCGTTTTTGGAAGTGAAAAAGACATTCCCAGAATTCCCTGCGTTACATTTAAAATGTGATGTTTTTTGTTGAAATAACTGTTTCTTCTTAGTTTTTTCTTATCAGTTTTGTATATTAGGGTTGTGTGTTACACCTAATGTTGTTAAATGAATGTTTATTGCATTATTTCAGTTTCATGTGTGTCACCATGATGGTGTTTAGTGTTTGTGTGAACGATGCTGTGCACCTTCTATATATGATATTATTTAAAAGCTGCTTGTGATGGGCTTTGGTTCATCATGTGACTTTCTCATCACCTCCTGCATTTGGTGGTTATCAGTGTATTACAAAGCTACAAAACAGATTTCAGTACTTCAATAGGTTGGTATATTAACATTATATCAGTTAATGAAATTGCGGTATTTAACTGTACATTTAAGTTAAAACCTAAAACATTGCTACCGTATTTTTTACGGTAAAATTCTGGCAACCACAGCTGCCGTTTTTTTACCGTAAATTTTACGGATTGTTTTACAGTGTAGAGTAGCTTCATTGTCATCTTGCTTCAACCAAAGTGATCTGAACAGACCTGACGTCGTAATTACCACTTCCCAACTCATGAATACAAACTTCCCAGAAGTACTTGAGAAAACCATGATTAGCGACTCGTTGTTCTGGCAACCCAGTGCTTATGTTTTTGCATCCCTAAAATCAAAATGATGGTTTGTAAACACGAGGGCCAGTTACTGGGCTTGTCTAACCGTTATTCCTGTTTGATAGATATTTTCATCAGTCAAAGCAGTTCAATCCACCTTCACATTCACCTGTCCTGTTCCTCCTTTTTTCTTTTTTGAACTGTGGCTTTCCCCACAATAAAGAGCATCTGTAAACATGCTCATAAAGTTCAATCAAAACATTATAACAGCACTCCGCCCTGGCTCAAAAACTCACACGTTGGTTTGGCAACAAAGCAGCAGCGCGTAAAGACTATTGGCCCTGAGGGAAACGAAAGAGGGCGAGATTACAGCTATTGAGAGTGACAGCTTTGCTCACTCCCTCAGAGTGTTTTGGGTGTGTAAGGCAAGATCGTGCAGCGTTATATAATGGAGGAGTGATTATGAGACAGCCGCGTGGTGCTCATTTAATGCTCACGCTGTGACCGAGACACTGGGCAGCCTGACCGCTGAATGTGGAGTTGCCATGTGCTGCGCTGCATATGATTACTGTTGTTTTTTTCTTCTCTTTCCCTTTACTGACCACACTTATCTTTAAGCCTGTGATAAAAATTTTTTTTTTTTTGCTTTGACAGCAAGTATGTTTGAGATGGTATGCCATCAAGACTTCTTTAGTTAACGTTTCTTTTGGCTTGTTTAAATGTTAACTGAGACTTAGAATACTAGTGTCAGCAGTTTTTTAAATAGTGATGTTAAGGCAATTACTACTACTACTACAGCTGCTCATATTTGGGGTTAGGCATGTAAACTCAGTTACGAATGCTTGGCCAACACAACTGAAATGTGCAATCACATACTTATAGGTATGTGTTTTTGTCAATAGCTACCACCTGTGTTTTGGGCAAGTCTCGCCACCTTTTGTCAGATGTCTGTCACACACAATGATTAAAGATGGAAGTGGGGTGACAGAGTCATTTTTAGGGGGTGTTGTACTATTGTACCACATTTACATACTGAACTAACATTGTTTTGGCCTAAACATTGACATGATCTTATATTTTAAGAGACTTATTGACCTTGACACACTGTCATACGGGTCTACCGGGAGCATCTCTGTGATAGACTTAGATTTGGCGGATAAAAGTTATTCAGATGTTTATAATAATTTAACAATTGTTCTAGAGAATAGTAATGAAAGTACTCAAAATTCTCTTTTCAAGAATTTTCTTTGCATTTCTTTACATTCTGTGCCCCCCTCCCTTCCCCCCCCCCCCCCCCCATACCATCATATCATGTAATAAGTAATAATAAAAATAAATGTTTTTGTCCATGCAATAAATGTCAATGGGGTCCAGTGTTATTCTGAACCCCACTGACTTAGACAAAACAGTTCAAAATACAGAATACAAAATAATGGGTTCGGTAATATTTTTTTATTGTTTTTGAAAGAAATCTCTTCTGCTCACCAAGGCTGCATTCATTTACAGTAAAAACAGTAATATTGTGAAATATTATTACAACTTAAAATAACAGTTTCCTACTTTAGCATTCTTGAAGTTGTAATTCATTCCTGTGATGCAAAGCTGAATTTTCAGCATCATTGCTCCAGTCTTCAGACATGATCCTTCAGAAAACGTTCTAATGCTGATTTGCTGCTCGATAAATGTTTTTTTCAATTAATATTAAAATGGTTGTGCTGCTATTTTTATTTTGAAAACTGTGATACATTTTAGGATTCTTTGATTTTCTTATAATAATTTAAATGCCTTTTACGAGACTTTTTAAGACATTTTAAGACATTATGTGCCATGTTTGATATAGTTGCCATGTCCTTGCTGAATAAAAATAATTAATTTCTTTAATAAAAACAAACAAACAAACTTTTGAACAGTAGCATATCTTTTTTGTGTTCCACTGAAGAAAGTCATACAGGTTTGAGTCATACAGGGTGACTAAATGATAACAGAATGTACAGTTTTGTGTGAACTATCCCTTTAAGCATGAAGCATCCGTAACCTTTCCTTGAGAGGGAATTGTTCAAGTTTGAAAGGTGAAAAGAGTCTTTATTTGATCTCAAAGGCTTGCTGTCAGAGCGTCATAGTAGGCTTCTGTTCTAAGCATTACTTTCTCCCTCTTGCTGATTTGCTCATGCACTGTACTTGGCTGATGGATTAACAGTACTTTTTTTCTTGCCCACTCCTTTTTCAGGTTTTGGTCTGCTTGTGCCACTGAGCTCCACGTGACCAAACACGACTTTGTTACCCTGAAAAGGCTCTGGAAACTGAGAACGAAAAACCGGAAGGCAATTCACAAGGAGAAATAGATTTTCCATTTCTCCGACCTTCCGTGTCCGTAACCAGACGGAGAGCTGAAGTCTGCTGATTCTGATGACGTGATTGTTCTGATATCTGGTTACTTGTGGTTCCCTCAGACGTCTGGCTGTCACCTACCCCGACTGTGGCACTATCGAAAGAGAGGATTCTGGGATAGGTTCATGCCGTGGTTGCGCCGCTGTATGGAGGTGTAGGGAGGAGCAGGACTCTTGTGGGACGCTGGTGGAGATCATGGGAAAAGAGCAAGATCTTCTGCAAGCGGTCAAGAATGGAGATCTAGCTACTACACAGAAACTGCTGGCCAAGGTCAAAGCCAGCAAAAGCAGTGAGTAACAGTACATTTCCTCCCTGTCCTATCACTGCATTTGACAAAATGTGTATCCATGAAGATACAGACTAGGGCTGTCAAAATGGCTGAAAAACTAAATTTGAATTTTTTACCTAAATATTATTTAATTTTTCGCCCCCCCCCCCCCCCCCCCCATACCATCATATCATGTAATAAGTAATAATAAAAATAAATGTTTTTGTCCATGCAATAAATGTCAATGGGGTCCAGTGTTATTCTGAACCCCACTGACTTAGACAAAACAGTTCAAAATACAGAATACAAAATAATGGGTTCGGTAATATTTTTTTATTGTTTTTGAAAGAAATCTCTTCTGCTCACCAAGGCTGCATTCATTTACAGTAAAAACAGTAATATTGTGAAATATTATTACAACTTAAAATAACAGTTTCCTACTTTAGCATTCTTGAAGTTGTAATTCATTCCTGTGATGCAAAGCTGAATTTTCAGCATCATTGCTCCAGTCTTCAGACATGATCCTTCAGAAAACGTTCTAATGCTGATTTGCTGCTCGATAAACGTTTTTTTCAATTAATATTAAAATGGTTGTGCTGCTATTTTTATTTTGAAAACTGTGATACATTTTAGGATTCTTTGATTTTCTTATAATAATTTAAATGCCTTTTACGAGACTTTTTAAGACATTTTAAGACATTATGTGCCATGTTTGATATAGTTGCCATGTCCTTGCTGAATAAAAATAATTAATTTCTTTAATAAAAACAAACAAACAAACTTTTGAACAGTAGCATATCTTTTTTGTGTTCCACTGAAGAAAGTCATACAGGTTTGAGTCATACAGGGTGACTAAATGATAACAGAATGTACAGTTTTGTGTGAACTATCCCTTTAAGCATGAAGCATCCGTAACCTTTCCTTGAGAGGGAATTGTTCAAGTTTGAAAGGTGAAAAGAGTCTTTATTTGATCTCAAAGGCTTGCTGTCAGAGCGTCATAGTAGGCTTCTGTTCTAAGCATTACTTTCTCCCTCTTGCTGATTTGCTCATGCACTGTACTTGGCTGATGGATTAACAGTACTTTTTTTCTTGCCCACTCCTTTTTCAGGTTTTGGTCTGCTTGTGCCACTGAGCTCCACGTGACCAAACACGACTTTGTTACCCTGAAAAGGCTCTGGAAACTGAGAACGAAAAACCGGAAGGCAATTCACAAGGAGAAATAGATTTTCCATTTCTCCGACCTTCCGTGTCCGTAACCAGACGGAGAGCTGAAGTCTGCTGATTCTGATGACGTGATTGTTCTGATATCTGGTTACTTGTGGTTCCCTCAGACGTCTGGCTGTCACCTACCCCGACTGTGGCACTATCGAAAGAGAGGATTCTGGGATAGGTTCATGCCGTGGTTGCGCCGCTGTATGGAGGTGTAGGGAGGAGCAGGACTCTTGTGGGACGCTGGTGGAGATCATGGGAAAAGAGCAAGATCTTCTGCAAGCGGTCAAGAATGGAGATCTAGCTACTACACAGAAACTGCTGGCCAAGGTCAAAGCCAGCAAAAGCAGTGAGTAACAGTACATTTCCTCCCTGTCCTATCACTGCATTTGACAAAATGTGTATCCATGAAGATACAGACTAGGGCTGTCAAAATGGCTGAAAAACTAAATTTGAATTTTTTACTTAAATATTATCAAAATTCGAATTATATTCTAATTTAAAATGCATCATTTCAGTTGGGGTGAAGAAAGCTTTTGGCTTCTCTCCTGAGGCCACAAGAGGTCGCATCGAGCAAAATATTACTAATGCACGTTTATTCAAAGCATAATATAACATGACTATCTGTGAAACTATCACAACTATAAACAAAACAGCATCATGTATGTATGCATAGTTTAATACAAAGGACCAAAAGAGCGGTCAAGAATGGAGATCTAGCTACTACACAGAAACTGCTGGCCAAGGTCAAAGCCAGCAAAAGCAGTGAGTAACAGTACATTTCCTCCCTGTCCTATCACTGCATTTGACAAAATGTGTATCCATGAAGATACAGACTAGGGCTGTCAAAATGGCTGAAAAACTAAATTTGAATTTTTTACCTAAATATTATCAAAATTCGAATTATATTCTAATTTAAAATGCATCATTTCAGTTGGGGTGAAGAAAAGCTATTGGCTTCTCTCCTGAGGCCACAAGAGGTCGCATCGAGCAAAATATTACTAATGCACGTTTATTCAAAGCATAATATAACATGACTATCTGTGAAACTATCACAACTATAAACAAAACAGCATCATGTATGTATGCATAGTTTAATACAAAGGACCGAAAGCCAATCACACAGAGTACATTTTTCGTTTAAAAGCACGAGTGGGATGGGGGAAAAAACCCGGCAATAAAGTCTCGAGATATGGTTTTTCAAAGTTAAACTTACATTAATTTTACATGGCTTTCTATACATGCGGCTCTTTTGTGCGAGACGCGAGTGCAACGCTGATAGATGTCCCTCTAGAAAATGCGTGAAATATGTGTTCTGTGTGAACGGCTTGGTTTCAGTTTTGACGTAAACATGATTTTCTCCGCATTGATTTTCTCTTTTCCCACTATATTTTTAATGAACAACGCAGCAGCTCCGCATCTAGTGGCTTCAACTGGACAGGCTAACAAAAACATTAAAATGCAACGACACTTACATCGTCATTGCATCTCGTGCGCCACTGATAAGGCTGCCTCCTTACCTGTGGTTACTAAAATCCACACCTGTGGATTTTTATTTTAAATTCGACGAATATTCGAAATTCATGGTTTTTTTTGACAGCCCTAATGCAGACCCTCATTGGCAATTGTTCTACCACCAGGGTGCTAAAAGATGAACTGCGAACAGTTAGTTCTTCTGATGATCCTGTTATTATAATATTCATATACCCATGACTAGGGCTGGGTGATGTCCCAAAAAAAATCTCGATATGCATGTATTTAGATATGAAGATATTTAGCAGAATGTTCATGCTGTATTTTACACACTGTAAAAGTAAATGGTGATCAGGAGCACTTTAGCTTTCTAATGGTCTAACATGAATGACTTCATGCCTGTTTTCTCAGTCCCACCAGTTAGTCTTTGCTGGAAGTGTATTGTTTCTCCTGGTTTGTGCTCTCTGTAAGAGCAGCGGGATTGGCCTTTGGAACACCTTGCCAACTGGGTCCTGATAACATCAACAGACTCTGTGTTTGCGTTGTACTTTTATCTCTTTATGGCCGTGCATTGAGAGTTCAACTCCAGCATGAAGACCCCATGTTCTATGTGATGTGGTCCAGTGGGAGTCTGTAAAGGGGAAGACAGATGCTCCACCCCAATAAGACCTCCCAAACGGTTAGGCGTCAGAAGAGAAAAGGGGGCTTTTCTCTGTCGGAGTCAGTTGTGATAACATATAAAGACAGCTGTAAAAGCAATATGCCACTAAAAGTGTTTTTACTATGGTAAAGATGTGTTGTTAGGCATATTGTTATACAGAGTTGCTTATTGCTTTTATGAAATGTTAAAAACAGTGTTCAGCAATAGTTCAAATTAAATTGAATAGTAAACTCTGCTGTTCAAAAGTTTGGGGTCAGCAAGTTTTTTTCATTTTTTTGAAAGAAAATATTTTTATTCAGCAAGAACACATTAAATTGATCAAACATAACTGTAAATATGTTTCAAAATATGTCTATTTGGAATAAATGCTGTTTTTATAACGTTCTATTCATTAAAGAATCCTGAAGAAATCTATCAGGATTTCCTCAAAAATATTAAGCAGCTCAACTGCTTTCAACTTTCAACAAGAAATGTTTCTCGAGCAGCAAATCAACATATTAGAATGATTTCTGAAGATCATGTGACACTGAAGACTGGAGTAATGATGCTGAAAATACAGCTGCGCATCACAGGAATAAATGACAGTTTAACATATGTGAGCCTGGAGCACAAAAGCAGCGTTAAGTGGCTGGGGTATATTTGTAGCAATAGCCAAAAATACATTGTATGGGGTCAAAATGATTGTTTTTTCTTTTACGCCAAAAATCATTAGGATATTAAGTAAAAAGATATGTTGTAAATTTCCTACTGTAAATATATCAAAACTTAATTTTTTTATTAGTAATATGCATTGCTGAGAACTTCATTTGGACAACTTTAAAGGCGATTTTCTCAATATTTTTTGCACCCTCAGATTCCAGATTTTCAAATAGTTGTATCTCAGCCAAATATCATCCAATCCTAACAAACCATACATCAATGGAAAGCTTATCAAAAATTTCGAAAAATTGACCCTTATGGCTGGTTTTGTGCTCCAGGGTCACATTTATTCACATAGAAAACAGTTATTTTAAATTGTAATAATATTTTCCAACATTTCTGTTTTTACTGTATTTTTGATCATATGAATGCAGCCTTATTGAGCATGGGAGACTTTAAACATTAATAATAAAACATACCGACCTCAAACTTTAGAAAGTAGTGTATATAATAATAATAATAATAATAATAATAGAACATTTAATTTTAATGTAATAAATATAAAATAAATTCATAAAAATCTGAATAGTTTATTCAGCTTCTTTTCTGAACTTCCATTTTATATATACATCATGAGACATTTGTGCTGGCAGGAAAAAAAACTCTCATGCTAAATGTATGACTTCGCACCTGGAACGACCCTAAATATACCTTTGCACTTTGCAGGTGACCTTTTCATGTGTTTGTGAAGGTGCTTGTAATTATCCATGAGAAGACAGGGGACTTTGTCTTTTGACGTTTGTGTCCTCTTGTTGGGCAGGTGTCTGTAGTTATCACAGGTTGGCTGTATGTTTGCCTGTGCCTCTTAAGAAAGAGTAGGCCTAAATGAAACCAATCCTGCATCTTGAATTGGCATCATAGTGTTTTTTGTTTTCTCTACACATCTCAAACGTGCTGTTTGAGCACCTGGTCACCAAGACTTCTCACTTTACAATAAACTGCTGGGTTTGTGTTTGGACTTAAAGGGTTTCGTTCACCCAAAAATTAGACTGTGTTTTACTCACCCTCGAAGCATCCTAGGTGTATATGACTTTCTTCTTCCAGACGAATCCAGTCGGAGTTATATAAAAAATTGTCCTGGCTTTTCCAAGCTCTATCATCGCAGTCAGCGGGTGTTGCAGTGCTTCAGTCCACAACTCGTCAAATAAAGTGCACGCATTCATAATAAAACGTGTCTCACATGACTCTGGGGGGTGAATAAAGGCCTTCTGTAGTGAATCCATGCATTTTTGTAAGAAAAATAACCATATTTCAAACGTAATAAACACTTTCATATCACTTCCGCTGACTGTCATACACTGAAGCAGTTCCGGCGGATGACGTAGCACGTCGGCGTTGCAAGATTAGTGACCAACGTGGAGAGACAACAAAACAAAACGCCGGTCACGAATTAGAAGTACAAACCGAAGATTTGCAAAGAAAAATGAGGATTTCGATATAAGCCAAGAGGAGACTGGTTTTTCCTTGCTAAAGGAAGGAAACTTTGCTTCCTTTGCTCCTATAAACAAAGTCGTGAGACTAGCATACCTCAGAGGCGCGCGCGCTGCGCATACATCTTGCGACGTCCGCCGGAACGCCTTCTGCGTATGACAGATAACGGAAGTGAGAGAAAAGTGTTTATTACATTTGAAATATGGATATTTTTCTTACAAAAACGCATGGATTCTCTACAGGAGGCCTTTATTCACCCTCCCGGAGCCGTGTGAGGCACGTTTTATTATGGATGCACGCGCTTTATTTGACGACTTGTGGACTGTTCAACTGCAACACCCGCTGACTGCAATGATAGAGCTTGGAATAGCCAGGACAATTTTTTTATATACTGTAACTCCGACTGGATTCGTCTGAAAGAAGAAAGTCATATACACCTAGGATGCTTCGAGGGTGAGTAAAACACAGTCTAATTTTAATTTTTGGGTGAACGAACCCTTTAAGCTTCAGGGTTGGATTTCCCGAGGCCAGCAAGAGGTCAGTTTGATAACCCAGCACCACCTCAGCTATTCTTTACCAAAGTGTGTGTAAACACGCACAGATAACACAGCCGAGGTCGCGAGTCGATCTCGTGTAGAACCTCCTCTTTTGTCTTTTCAGGCCAGAATCGACGCCTGGTCCATTGTGTGAGTGGCACGCAGGCTGAGTAATTGCGCCATAATGTCATCTTTAGTGCGCTAAGGGTCATAAACGCTTTCCTACAGTCAATAACACGCGGCGGGCTTTTGTGGCCATCATCCTTCAGGCTGCAGAAGACCCGGCCAGCTGACTAGTCTACCCAGCATACCTCCGTCCCACGTCCCTGCCACTTTGTCTCAGTCCCTGAGGGCCTGCGCCACAGCCTGTCAGATTACCCACGATCCTTTGTTCGCACTCGCAGCTTTACTAATTCATCACCCTGTGCCTGGTACACGTGCTCATCAAGGCTGCACGACAAAAACCGCACCCTCTATTGCATCCAAGCATCCGTTGCTCTGCTCCCCTTGACATCTGCCAGCACAGGTTTGCTTTCACCCCAGACTCTCATTAATCCCGATGAAGACCCAGATGGTGGTAAAACAGATTAAATGTGGAAGAGAGACCCCGGCACATGGACACTTCTTATCATGTGCTGTTCTTATCATGACCTATTTAAGATCTCCATGTTTATATATCTAGTGAAAGGCTGTGGAAAGTTCTCATGGTGAGTCAGGAGCACACTGCTGCTGACTTTGGATTTTGCTGGATGGATTGTTGCTCCCTGACCTTTTTTGTTTCCACTGTCTTTGAGGCTTGAGGTTGGGTGGGATTGTACAGTCATTTGTTTGTGTGTGTGATAATGCTCCATGTTAAATCTGTGGTGCAATCCTCTGTTATTTCAGATTTTATCCCGGACGTTTGATCCTTTAAGTCCTGTTGTTTTTAGTGCTGGGATGTTTGTTGGCATACATGTTATTCAAGG